ATCATAATCTGATTCTGAGAATCATAATCTGATTCTGATTCTGAAAATCATAATCTGATTCTGATTTCTAAATCAAAAATCAGCGATTCTCTGGATTTTTTTCCCACCCTGACTTCTTGTCAGTGTGTGTCTAAAGAAGAACAAAAAAAAACTTAAGACACAGTGTAGCTTACTGGTAGCTTGCAGCTGCACTTTTCAATTTGACACCATGGAGTTGGAGATGTGCCGCAGTTCTTTGATTGACTTTCTGTGTCCACCGTCGCTACGGTTATCTAGCAACAAGCTCATGGTAAATGTTAAATCTGGTCACTCAAATTACCCTTGTCTATGGACATAGCTAATGGCAGAGGCAAATATTTTACAATAGTGATTAAATGTACACATTCCAGTGTATCTAGTCTCAAGACACCAACCAATCCAAATTGTCATGCCATGCAACATGCCTTTGCATTGCAAAATGGAAAAAAAAACCTGAGTGTCACATAATATTCTTCAGCTCTTCCCTCAGACAACAGCGACAGGAATAGGGCAAGCGGGCGCTTAAACAACGGCATACCCATGGTGCCTCGGAGGAGGAGTCCATCAGAGCTGGACAGTTTTCGACGCTCCCTGCCTGTTCATGAACGGCAGGAGGAGATCATCCAGCTCATCAGAGAAAACAGGGTGGTGCTGGTAGTTGGAGAAACTGGCTCTGGAAAAACTACACAGGTGCGTCTGTCTGACCGACAGTCCAACTCTTTGGTCCTCACTGAAATATCTCAAGAACTAGACAGATTAAGATGAAATTTTATATACATTCCTGATCCTGGTGGGAATAAACCCTAGTAAATTTAGGTTTTCAGTGAAATATCTTTTGGATGGATTGCGATGCTATTTGCAACACACATTCACTGTGTGTACTTTGTTTGTAGTCCTAATTGCCAATAAGTCTTAGCACTCAATTCTGATTTATTGCTCAGATTTGATTTTTATTTATTTTTTTTGGCTGTTCGCATTGCTTTTTTAAATGTAGTAATCAGATTCCAGTGTAAACAAATGACAAATGTCCATCTACAGTGATGTAAAAGTCATATTTAATTATGATATGACTGTTTACACTGAGGTCACGTTGCAAAAAATCTAAATTGAACTGATCAGATTCCATGCGATTTGTGTTATTCATACTTTCATGAAAAGTCACATATGAGCAAAAGAAAATACGATTTTGGCCACTTTGGTCTGAGGTCTGAACGTGGCCTTAGTCTTGTTAGCAGTATTCTTTTGTCTTATTTTTTAATACATTAGGCTACCAGGATGCCTCTATTTATGACAAGTAGAATTTTGTCACTGATTAGACCATTTTATTCAAGAATATTATGATTCTGAACCAAAATTGCAAGATCTTAGAAATGTCCAGAGGTTAAACTCTGTAAGGGTAATCCAGTGTCACTGTGTTATTGCCCAGATCCCACAGTTCCTGCTGGATGAGTGCAGCAGGAATGAAGAGCCCTGCAGGATCTTCTGCACTCAGCCCAGACGCCTGGCTGCCATTGCTGTGGCTGAGAGAGTGGCAGCTGAGAGAGGAGAGAGTGTGGGCCAGACTGTCGGTTATCACATCAGACTAGAAAGCAGGTAGATTAACCTAGCCTTTTATCTTTGGTATAAAGACACTAACACTTGTTTTGTTAATAGTCTACACTTGTAGATTATTGTAGCAACTGATCCAATTCAAGGATGATCTACAGTAAGTAGATCCACACACTCCCATTGGAAAGCAGTTTTATACACAAGAGGCCTCAAGTCACTTTATATATTATCTAAGTAAACTAGTATCTCATAAAGTGATATATATATTCTATTCTATATTCATTCAATCTTTGATGTATAGTTTGAAAACTGAATGTGTGTTTGATTAAGTAGAATTTCAGAAAATTCTGATTTGTAAAATGTAATTAAGTCTATTTTGTGCAAGCACAATGGGCCTCACACAGAAACCACTCGTGCGAACATCTTCGTTCTTAAGTATACAACTGATTTAGGAGAACTTACAGCATTCACCAGTTTTCTCTTATTTCGAATTTTGTCTTTGGTATAAACACAATTTATTCGTGGTCCAGACCACGACTAATCATATGCAATTAATCTGCTGTTATTCAAGCACACACTTTTCATACAAGAATTGTATATTGCATTACTCTAATGTAATTTTGAGTTTTCTATGTAAATTGCCTTTCATAACATCATCATAATGACATCACCCTGTTTCTGGTAATTATGATATAGTTCTAAATGTATCATATGGCTTAATGATATCATCATTAACCTAAATTTGCTATTGATGGGGTTAAGATTCTTGTCACATTAAGGTGTATGCAGGCCACTGTCCAGGGGAACAGACCCTGTTGGAATACCTAACAATATAGCATCACCTATCATTGCATGTATTCTCTATCTCTATGATGGAGTCTTTTCCTTGACCCCCTCCTGTTGCAGCCATTAATTGCCTTGTTTTTCACATCAACATTACTTCTTCTTGAAGGTGCGGCTGTTGCTCAGGAGGTAGAACGGGTTGTTCAGTAATCAGAAGGTTGTCAGTTCGATTCACCGGCTCCTCCTGCTGCATGTCAAAGTTTCCTTGAACAAGATACTGTCACCTGAGTACGACCCTCAGGTGGCACAGCGTTGACAGCAGTAGTCACTTTTTCCCACTCTTTGACTTCAGCAGGTCCTTTAATTCCACACCTGACAGTGTTAAAAATGATAGACTCAAATTCAGTTTCCAGTGGCATATATTTCTGTCCATATACCCATGATTCAGAAATAGTGGATTCACTGTGAGAAGCTGTCCCCATGCTCACAGCCATTGTCATTAATTTAGAGTGCAATAGCAAAATACAAAAATTATGCAGCCTAAGAGAAAACAGAAAATCATCTTCTTTCCTGTCATAACACTCTCTCAATTTTCTATTTAATATGCTTTTACATTAATGTAAAAAACAAAAATACATTACTTTAACAGATAAAGCCAAAAGTGTTACATATATCAAGTCTGCATAGGTATCTGACAGGTGATTAGAGGTGTGGTTGAGGCATTTAACTATTTAACTAAATTTAGCAAAATATGCATTTTCATAAACTTTCCTATCTATCATTTGCAAGCTTCTGGCAACGGTTTATATTGCTTAATATGGACATGTCTCTTGTAACTGTTGACTTTGAAACCACAGGGTCTCCCCCAAGACACTGCTGACCTTCTGCACTAGTGGCGTGTTCCTCAGAACACTGATGGCTGGAGATGCCAGCCTTAAAACTGTCACACATGTCATTGTGGTGAGCATCAAGACTACAAATATACACTCTAAGAAAACTGGTCAACTCTGTAATCCTGTTTTATGAAATACACATTTGAAACTGGGAGTGTTCTTTAAAGAGGAATAACAGTGTGCTGAAAAGCAATGTTTTGCTGTTCTCTCTGGTTGAAAGGTATGTAATCTTTATCACAGTGACATACTGTGTTTTAACAGGATGAGGTGCATGAGCGTGATGGATTGACTGACTTCCTGCTCACTAAAATGCGGGATGTGCTTCAGAAGATCCCCACACTGAAACTGATCCTCTCCAGTGCAGCTCTGGATATAGACCTGTTCCTTCAGTACTTCGGCTCTTGCCCTGTAATCAACCGTAAGACCTACTAACACTGTGTTCATTAAAGGAATGCTCATACCAGCTGTTACAGCAGCTTAAGAAATGTGCGTCTACATTACATTAGTGTTGTTTGTATGTTACACAGTTGGCTTCTCTGTCACACTGTCAAGTGATCTGCTTCAGTACACCTTAGGAACAAATATTACTGGGACCTCTACAGAAAATTGCAGATGGACAATAACCAGGAATTAGCATGATAGATTCTGTCGCTGACCATAGTCCACCACTTGAGACACTCTTCTATCGATTTATATACAAATATGTGTGGTGCTTTGAAAACCTGGCTCCTCCCGCTGCATGTCGAAGTATCCTTGAGCAAGAAACTTAACCCCAAATTTCTCCCGATGCTGCGTCATCGGTGTTTGAATGTGAATGAATGAGTTACTTTCTGTTCAATGGGCTATCACTGTGTGAATGTGTGTGAAAGGGCGATTGTGGCATATAGTGTAAAACAAGTACAAGTACAGGACCATTTACCATTTAATGCAAACTGATGGCATTTCTAAATAGCCTAACTTATTTTGAAATAATGGGAGAGAAGCTGAGCAAAAACAGGGTTGAAAGGTATGCATGTAAGACCTTTACCATGTATTATTAGAAATAATTTGAAAAATACAGGAGCAAGAGTGTTACATCCTGATGATTTTATTTAAAGAACAGTTTCCAAATTTAAAGTGAAATGGGTCATTTGTAACCGGGAAAAAAATCCTGTTGTTAATTGATTTTTCAAAATATTTTTAGTCAAAGGAAGACTGTTTGAAGTGAAGGAACTCTTTCTGGAGGACATTCTGAGGCTGACGGGCTTTAACAATAAGGACATGAGGAAATACAAGGAAGAGACACAGAGAAGTATGACGTTTTTTTTAAGTAGTCCACTGAGTCAGACTGAATGAAAACTGTCTTAATTTCCTCTGTGTGTATCACATGCTCTGGTTCTTAGAGGAGAAGAAGCAGAAACGTCTAACGGAGTGGTGTAAGGCAGTGCAGAACAGTTCTGTTGAGGAGGAACAGAGGGCCCCTGTGTCTGCCTCAGGCTTCCTCCAGGACAGCAGCTCCCAGGACAAAGGGGGCAGCAACTTCAATAATCCAGTAAACCAACACACACATACACACACTACTCAATGCAATGCTACATTGGGTTTGATCAAGTCAGTCCAGTGTTCCAGCCTTCAGCACCGCATCCTGTTATCAATGTAGTTACAGTTTCATTTCCCCCCGAGATCCCCTCCAAACATAGGACATATACAGTCTGCTTGGAAAAATAATGTGCATCTCATAATTTCAACATTAAAGTTGAAAATTATAGAAATAATCTATTAATATGCAAATGTTCATTTCTGAACTCTGTTGCAACACAGAGCTTTTCTCTTGTAACACAGCAGTGCTGTATGTGCTAACTATACTGGCTGCTGCCACTAGCTAACTTCAGGAGGATACACTGTTTGGTCTGGTAGTGGTGGATCGGTGCGGTGAACAGATGTAGAGGGTCATCTATTTTCCTACAGGGGCTGGCAGTTCTGTAGGCCCTGTCAAAAAGTCTCTCATTTATCAGCTGTAAGTCAGAGTTGGGTGGGGTTATGCAAGAAAATAACTAGTTTGTACGCAGTGTTTATCTGACCTCGGTGGAAATCAAGCACATTTTTAGACAGTTTTTCCTGGAAGACATTTATAATGTGAATGAATATGTCTATGAATATGAATGTAATCAACTATGTTGATGTAAATGAATGGGAAATGGACTGCACTTGTATAACTAACTAACTCCATTCATACACGAAGAGGGAGATTGCCGGGGATTCAACCGCCAACCTTATGATTAAAGGACCCCTTTCTGTCATTGAGTAAACTGACAACTTAACTTTAAAAATAACAGTTTCATTTCAATGAAATACTGAGCCTACTGTATTTTTGAAAAGAAAAGTTTCTTAAACCCCTTAAAATGTACGAAATTCACCCCTTGTGTAACTTGACGATTCCTAGTTGCGTCTGGATGTGTGTTGTATTTAGGTGTGTCCTGTGAAACCTGACTGTTGCTTGGCACTAGGTTGAGTCACTGTGTGATTTTGTGTCACAGAATGAGAATGGCACAGAAGAGCTGGAGCCGTGGCTGCAGAAAGAAATGGACGCCTGCATTTCCAACATTTTCCTCAGTGAAGACCAGGATGCTTTCATTGAGCTCTTCAACCTCATCCTCTATGAAAGTGTTAACGGTATGACTCTTTGGGCTGATCTCTTATTCATCTTTTTGGAATCATTCATGTTTTTTTTGTAGGATTATTTATACATTTTAACATTTGGCATAAACACTGTAATACACATGATACAGAATATCTGATTTATTTCATCAATGTAATGATGTACCTTTATTTGTATATATGTATATAATTCCCTGGATTAGTCATTCGTCTCCTCTGGGGTTTTTCTTTTATTCATCAGCAGTTTTTCAACTCAATTTTCAGAAACTGTACTATATTATGATATCCTATACAGTTATTGCAATATAAGATTGCATATAGTGTAATTAATTAAATCCATAGATTTATTGATACATATTGCCTGTCTCTAACCGCTGGTTTTACTTAACTTCCCATAAAACCACAACTTATTACACTAGCATTTGTATGGACACAAACAAGATACAATCTGTTAATTCAGTGTCTCTCTCCGGATGACAGTTTAACTGTAGTAGGAACTGCAATGGGTACTCTTTTCCACACAGGCACGTCTACGCTGGTTTCTCACACACACCAGCTTGCCTTGCTCTGCCTCTATTACTCTAGCTCCCTGTTTGTGTCTCTTTAGACTTTCTTTGGCATTATGATTTATAAAGTTGCCCAAAAATGCGTTTGGGATTTTTGTCTGTTTTCACAACAACAGGTAAGCCGCGTGTGGAGGAGGCTTGTTTTTAATGGTGTAGACTTGGCTTTGGTGTGTTGGGATGGCGCAATCATATTGTATTCATCATATCATATAATATAGGGTGCTGGGAATCATAAACAATCAACTGGTCTGCCATGAGTTCTGGTGTGACATTCGTACCCTGTGATTGATTGATGCCTTTATTTGCAGTGCAAAAATATTATGTTTTTTTGCTGCATTCTGTGTGAAATGTCATACTGTTCATACAATTTGTACAATGTATCCTGAACATAAAAATAATTTATGTGCTAAAAACTTGCTAGCTCTAGTTGTCCTCATACTTATATTCTTTTACCAAGTTGACTACAGGCACAGTGAGACAGGGTCCACACCTCTGATGGTGGCAGCAGGCCGAGGGTTCCTCCCACAGATGGAACAGCTGCTCAGCATGGGGGCCGACATCAACATGAAAGCATCCAATGGATGGTAAGACAGATATCGGGCCCTATCTTGCCATCTGAAACACAAGTGTCAAACGCAAAACGCAAGTAGCTTTGTGGGCGGATCTCGGGCGCTGTTGCTATTATGCCAGCGGGTTAAATGACTCTTGCGCCCGGCGCAA